ATTTTGAAAGATGAAGCTCGCGATTATGGTAAGGAGCGTTACATTTTCGACGAGTGCTTGCGGTGTTCGGCCAATCACAATGCACTGGGTCAGCTGGCCAATCAGAGCAGACTGCGCTTGTCGGAAGGAGGGACTTTGTAGAAAACGAAGCGTTTGAGAGGCAGGGCATAGAGGACCTACAATAATGTACAGTATTTTAAAAATAATGTGTTTTTTGAACATTAAAGCATGTCAACATATTCTGTTACATCAAATACACAAAATAATGATCTTTAAAAAAGCATCATATGACCCCTTTAAAAATGTCATTTATTCCTGTTATGCAAAGCTGAATTTTCAGCATCATTATTCCAGTATTCAGTGGTACATGATCCTTCATAAATCATTCTATTATATTGATTTGCTGCTCAAGAAACATATCTTATTATTATCAATGTTGAAAACAGTTTTGCAGCTTAATACGTTTGTGGAAACTGATACATTTTCAGGATTCTTTGATAAATGGAAAGTTCAAAAGAACTTAAATAGATTTTTTTCATGAGGTTTTTGTAACATTATAAATGTTTTACTGTCATTTTGATCAATTAATTGCATCCGTTCTGAATAAATATATTAATTTCTTTTAAAAACTCTGACTGACGCCAAACTTTTGAATGCTAAGTTTAAATAAGACAGAAGAGTTTCAGTTATCCTTTTTCTATCTTTTTTCTTTTCTGTATTTTTCCAAAGAGTTTGACAAGGATTGCTTCCACTGTGGTGCAAGTGAATGTAATATTAACCATACCAGCTGTAAGTCTGAGTTTGCCACTGGCCTCTGACCCCAGTTTCTCAGTCTCTATGAATCCTCCAGTTGCACACTGGGGCCCTGGGCCAGTCAAAGTGCGCTTGATCTCTCACACACTCCGACAAGGACAGGTTTGTGTGTTTTATGAAAAAGAAATAATTCATTACATATTTTTAAGACAAACAGGTATCCTAAGGCTCTGAATGATGTTTCCAGCATGAGTATGAAGAAATGTTTTCAACATTCTTGTAACTAAATGCTGCTTTTCTTTCAAACAATTAATTCTGCCAAATGTCCTCCATATTCAAACTCTTCCCTCAGGACAGTGCAGAACTGTTGGCCCTTTCTCGTCCCGAGGGGCCTCAGCTCTCTCTGCCAGGGGGTTTCAGTCGTCAGACAGCTCCTCTTTCTCCGTGCCTGCTCGTACACTTCCACGGAGGAGGCTTTGTTGCACAAACTTCAAAATCACATGAGGTGTGGCTGTGGCAATTTTACCTCCCTATAAAAGGTTTCTCACCTAAATGATTTCTTTGTTAGGATGTTGTGTTTTTTTTCTGAGGCCCTCTGTCTTGTTTTCTCTCTATTGTAGAATTACTTGAAGAGCTGGTCAAAGGATCTGAATGTGCCTATTCTCTCTGTGGATTACTCATTGGCTCCAGAGGCCCCGTTCCCCCGGGCTCTAGAGGAGTGTTTCTATGCCTACTGTTGGGCCTTAAAGAATTGCCACTTGCTGGGTTTGTAAAGCACACTCCTCTCCAAATGGACTAATAACTAAACTAATATACAGACAGTAATTGTTTTATGGAGATATGATGTAATTTCAGTAATTACATGTGCTAGTCAATGATTTTATTGCCGTCTAAATAGGAAATGTAATACGCTGCAACAAATGAAATTGTAAATAAAATTATTCTATCACAGTTTCTCAATTAACATGAGATAATGTTAATAATGTTGTTAATAGTAAAAAAAAATTATAATTATTATGAAAGAATATAAAAAAAAACTTAATGTGGACTACCATTCAAATGTTTGCAAGGATGCAAAGACACTTATAATACTACAAAAGATATTTATTTCAAATAAATGCTGTTTTATAAATGTTCTACTCAAAGAATCTTGAAAAATCTTGGTTTCCACAAACATATTAAGCAGCACAACCGATTTCAAAATTGATAATAAGAATAAATGTTTCTTGAGAGTTAAATCCGTATATTAGAATGATTTCTGAAGGATCATGTGACACTGAAGACTGGAGTAATGACTGCAGATAGGGGAAAAAAATACATTTTAAAAGTATTAAAATAGAAAACGGTTATTTGAAATTGTAATTATATTATACAGTATTACTGTACAGTAAAATACTGTACAATATCAATAAATGCAGCCTTGGTGAGACTTATTTTAAAAACATTAACAAATCTGACCGCAACTTTTGAACGGTAGTATATAATAATTACAAAATAATTAGCAAAATGCTTTGCTTTTTAAATAATTTTAGGTGAAGTACATCACACTACAAAACTTCCCAAAAGTATTTGGTCAAATGCCCATAATTTGATGGTTAAATCAGTTTAATTTTTCCATTTTATGACATTCAAGATGTTGTTGCGAAGAACAATAACTTTTATTTACCCTCCATAAAACCATATAGCCAGTCACAATTCCTATAAAAAGAGGGTTGAACTTCTGCAAAGAATCATATGAACTTTATTTTTACCTTTAGGTGTGTGAGCATAATAACAGGTGTGAACATGACAAGCAATCCATCTCAACCATGCTTCAGGACTCTCTAAATGTTGATCTTGCTGCACAGGCTCGACTGCAGAGCGTGTTTGCTTGGTGGGAGACAGTGCAGGCGGTAACCTGTGTATAACAGTCTCTATGAGGGCAATGTCTCACGGTGTACGTGTTCCTGATGGGATTGTGGCAGCGTACCCAGCAACTCTGCTAACAACAGATGCCTCACCATCCAGACTACTCACTTTAATCGACCCTCTGCTGCCTTTGAGTGTGCTCTACAAGTGTATTGATGCCTATGCTGGTGAGCTTTTGAATCAAGTCATGTTACAGACAAGAGTTCTATGCAGATTGTTTCAAAGCAGCTTTTATCTACCGCACTTTCATGATTGTACTGTCTCTTGGTCACTGTCTCTATCTCAGGTACGAGTTGTCAGTCAGTACAGCCATCTCAGCAGTTAGATACCTTGGCTGCTTTGGGACAGGACACAGTAAAGTTGCTGACTAACTTCGCCCAAGGAGTAACAAATTGGTTTCACACTTTATTAGATCCAAAAGCAGCATCGTCATCCTCTTCAACCACATCATCAAACGGTCCTTCACCTTCCAAGTCACATTCTGTAGAGAAACCACAGGAAGTCAAAGAATACCCAGACAACTTTGAGCCACTCCGGTCTAGGTGTCTGGTGGATATACGGACACCTTGCACACCAATAATGAAGAACCCATTTGTTTCTCCTCTACTTGCTCCGGACAGTCTTCTCAAGGGGCTTCCACCTGTGCATATAGTGGTAAGACATGATGAAAATGCATTTCCAAGAACAATGTTGAAACTATTATTTTAATGCTTTGATTGTTCTTTTCAGGCCTCAGCTTTGGATGCCCTGTTAGATGATTCAGTGATGCTTGCCAAAAAGCTTAGGAATATGAACCAGCCTGTGACGCTCACTGTGGTTGAAGACCTTCCCCATGGCTTCCTGAGCCTATTTCAACTTTCCAAAGAAACCCAGGAAGCATCTGATATATGTGTGAAACGAATTAGAGAAGTCTTCCAGCAAGAGGAACTACCTGCTCATCAGAGGCAGCCGGGGCTCAATTAGACAGTTTAGGCTTGGGAAAGTCATGATGGACCACCAATGTCCAAGAAGTTCCAGGGATCTAAATAATAATAAAGTGAAACTAGTTTTTACTGGTTTGAAACCAGAAATTTATTTTTAAAAAGATAAGTCTATCCACCAGCTGAACTCCTGGAAGCAATTGTAGGTCCAGCTTGCAATACCAAAGTCATAGGCTTAATGTGCAGTTTTGCATCAGAATGACTCATTTTTAAGTATTCACATTAACTATTCACTGTTGTGTTCTGAACGAACTGAATGTCTAATCATCCACCAAAATTTCACCATTGTGCCTGTAGTGATGCAATAAGATCAATCCTAGCTACTTCTGCACTGCAAACTAATATTTAAAGCAACTGCACTGTGGATTCTATTAAAATCACCATGTCTGACCTCTTATTTTTATCTGAAATGAAAATGGTTTGAATGTTTAAACGTAGGGGTGTCAAACACACAGCGCACTCTATGATATATATATATATATAAAAAAAACTTCAATTGTCCCACACAAGGTTGTGTTTAGTCCAGTGTGTCTCATGGCCTGAAATTACTTTGACACCCCTGCTATGATATTAAATTATAATGTAAGCATACATTATTTCATTATTTAATTAATTTTACAAGGATATTTGTGTGTGATATGATTATATATCTTGACAAAACTTTGAGGATGCGATTTTAAGCTTTACAGCATTGTGTCTTTTCATAGTACTGTTGTCTACACTTGAACCTTCATATTAACAGGTTACCTCATCATTTCTTGAAAAACAACTGGCCAGATGCACAAGAATCTTTCACTGTTGACTTATTACCAGTTCACGTTATGATGCAGTAAACTAAATGGCTAAAAGGTGGTCATAACCATAACCAAATTAGATTCAGCACATGATGACCTGTACTTTTTTCTTATAATACCAAAGATGTTTGTTCTATACTGTACATTACTGTACAACTGAATGTCAAATGCAATAAATTAATAATCCACTATTTTTAAAGCACCCTTTGTTTCCAGTGCTGTTTTGGTCTATATTTTGCACAATTTTGCAGTTATTGTTACTACAAGAAGACTATGGTAATTTGATAAGTATTAGTCACTACTTTATAATACTACTACTACTAATAATAAGAATTTCAAGTCTGAAATCATTAAGTATTTATTATTTCAATATAATTAATTTTTTTTTTTTTAACTTTTTTTTCTTGTATTATTATTTGTTATGCCAAAGAATGCCTAAAATACAATATGGATACCACAGTAATTTTTAAGAGAATAAAGACACACATTTAAAGAAAGAAATGCAGTAAATAAATGAATGTTTGATAGTTAGGGTCATAAGAGCCTCCGTACCGTTGATGGCAGCACCTCAGATGTGCAGCCTCAAAACGAAGCCCACTGACGTCCATGTCGCTCGACCGTGTTGACAGAAATACAACAAAGAGACGAGCTGCTTGTAGCGACATGATAAATACCACGTTAATTACCAAGTAATTTACCTCACATATATGGCAACATAGGAAACTGACATAAGTAAAGGTAAATATTTGGTTTTAACTGTCGTATTTTAGTGTAATGTTATAAGTTTAGCCTAGCTTAGCACAATTCACCTGCTAACTAAACTATTTGATGTCGGTCAGTTTGGGATTATTTTTTAAAATTATTTGCCTGAAGTAATTTACGGCGGCGTTTTAGTGCCACGTTAAAAAAAACAAAAAAAAACTAAGATTACGAGATTAAAGTAATGTTTTGAGGAAAAGGTAAAAACTACGAGAATAAAGTCGAAATATTTTGAGAATAAAGTCAAAATTACGAGAATAAAGTCGAAATATTTTGAGAATAAAGTCGAAATTAATAGAATTAGATCGTAGCATTTACGAGATTAAAGTTATAATAATGTTATATAATGTCTCAATTTTGACTTTAGTAAAAGTGCCATGGTAATTCAGTGTTATTACTTTAAGTACTGTAAAGTGCAACATAAATACAATGATTTTACAATATGGGAATCATTCAGTATCATGACATGTGACATGGTACTTTTATATAGTATTTCCATTTTATACTATGGAATATACTATACTTATACTACATTTTACACCACAATACTTTTTCTGTCGGGATGATTATGACCCATTATCACATTGCATTAGACAGTTTTAAAAAAAGCTTTCTGTTTACAATAAATGATGATAACCAAAGGTTTACCAATATTATATTGATATAGTTACTACTGTAAAATGGTAATAAATTAAAAATGGTTATTCCATGAACATCTTTCAGAATATTTCATGTCATTTCAGTTTGTATAGTGAATTGTCTTTGATTTCCACATTGTTTCTCTGCAGGTGGCACAGGTGTGGGCACAACTGGATGTCAACACAGAGGAAAGGACATTTGAGACATTTGAGAGTTAAACTGCATCTGAAGAAGTAAAAGTGCGAATCGGCAGCCAGAAGACCACAAAGCACTGTTTGCATACTGTAAATATTGCAGAAGTGTAGACACGAAAAGAAAGTTCTGGTCTAGGTCTTTCTGTAGTTCAGATTGCCTTAGCAGACAAGTTCTTTATTACACCTGTCCAGGTATAATTTTCTATACTGTGTGCAATATTTATTCACATAAATATTTATTTCTCTTCTTTTAGAAGAGCCCTTGTAATAAATCTTGTGTGGCAGCATTGCTCTGAATTATTGAGCCTAAGCTGTATGAAGAATTTATAAATATCTGATAAGATTCTTTAGTGACACTTTTTATTGAGGCCTTGTGGACACTGTGAATGGTTCACTAGGTCTTATTAGACCTTAGTAAGGCATTAGAAAAGTGAAAAAGACATGGAAAAGCTTTAGAAACTTAAAACAAATGGCAACAAAGATGGAGAACATTGGGCCTGCTGTCATAGGTTTAAACACACACAATAGGCATGTTATAGGACAGCCTAAAGGCCGCTCTCAGTTAGGGCCCCAATCTGTGAGTTCTCAGCCTGGAAAGGAGCCCATGGGGACCCAGAAACCAGCCAATGCATCTCAGGAAGGACCTGGAATCAGGTAAGGTTGTTATACTGTCATAATGAACACTTGTTTGCTTAGTTAGAATGTATGTGTGTTATATATGACATGTCTGTGTACACTTCTGTTTAAAAGTTTGGGGTCTGTTAAGTCTCTTATGTTCACCAAGGCTGCATTTATTTGATCAAAAATACAGTAAAAACAGTAATATTGTGAAATATTATTACAATTTCTAATAACTATTTTCGGTTTTAATATATTTTAAAATGTAATTTATTCCTGCAATGACAAAGCTGAATTTTCAGCATCATTACTCCAGTCTTCAGTGTCTCATGATCCTTTAGAAATCATTCTAATATACTGATTTGTTGCTCAAGAAACGTTTTGTATTATTATCAAGTTTTTGTAAATCATGATACATTTTTTACAGGATTCTTTGATGAATAGACATCTTTTGAAATAGAAATCTTTTGTAACATAATAAATGTCTTTACTGTCACTTTTGGTCAATTTAATAGGTTCTTGCTGAATAAAAGTTTTAATTTCTTTCTTTACAAATATATACATATGTATTACTGACCCCAAACGTTTGTACAGAAGTATAGATATTAATTTACTGACACACAGGTTTGGTGATGACTGGAAAAAAAGCCTACTGCTCCCGGCTAAGGACAATAGAGTAAAAACTTCTGTAAGTCTTTCAGTTAAATGTTTTAAACTTTTTTTCCTTTTTAAAAATTAATGTAATGTAATTATAAGGACGTCTTGTTTTTCACCAAAACACACAATGTAGAATTCTTATATAAACATGCAACATGCATTTGATGAATAGTGATTGTTTTTCATTTTGTTAAGTACAAATACAGATCTCCTTATGATCTGTCTATTTAATGCTATTTCTTTCTCTCAAGGATGTGACTGCAACCAAAGGGAATGAGTTTGAGGACTACTGTCTAAAGAGAGAGCTGCTGATGGGCATTTTTGAGATGGGCTGGGAAAAGCCCTCCCCCATTCAGGTAATAGATGCAAGAACTTCAAAACATAGACAAGTTACCAGTCTTTCTGAACAACATGGGTATCCTCAGTGTTTATGCTTAAAGGAATCGTTCACCCAAAAATGAAAATTTGAAGAAAATGTACTCATCCTCAGGCCATCCAAGATATAGATGAGTTTATTTCTTCATAAGAACAGATTTGGTGAAATGTAGCATTACATCACTTGCTCCCCATTGGATTCTCTGCAGTGAATGAGTGCCGTTAGAATTAGTGTTCAAACAGCTGATAAAAACAACACAGTAATCCACACAACTCCAGTCCATCAATTAATGTCATGTGAAGTGAAAAGCTGCATGTTTGTAACAAACCATTCCATCAAGTCGTTTTTAACTTCAAACTGTTGCTTCCTATATTGGCATAATAGCTACAAAATAGTAATAAAGCCATAGTATTGTTTTCTCCAGTGGTGAAAAAGTCATCTTGTCTGAATCAGAAGAGAAATATGCACAAATCAAGCACCTGTTACAAGCGCAAACAGTCCAAAACAGTTTTAAACAAATATATCGGTGGATTTTGATGTGAGAGGACAACGGGATGAACTTTTTCAGGAAGTGTTATTATGGATTATGGACTCATATTTTGGCCAGAAGCGACAATTTAAAGTTAAAATGCCTTAATGATGGAATTGTGAGCAGCTTTTCTCCTCACAAAGTTTTAATTGATGAACTGGACTCGTGTGGATTACTTGTGAATTATTGTGATGTTTTAATCAGCTGTTTGGACTCTGTTTCTGACGGCACCCATTCACTGCAGAGTGGATCCTCTGTAAAGTAATGTAATGCTAAATTTGTCCAAATCTGTTCTGATGAAGTAAACAAATTCCTCTTTATCTTGGATGGCCTGAGGATGAGTACATTTTCAGCAAATTTTCATTTTTGGGTGAACTGTTCCTTCGATTGTTTTTTAATTTTTATTTTAGGAGGAGAGTATTCCTATTGCCCTTTCTGGCCGCGATATACTGGCTCGTGCCAAAAACGGGACCGGAAAGAGTGGTGCATACCTTATCCCCCTTCTGGAGAGAATTGACATAAAAAAGGATCATATCCAGGGTATCTCTCTCCAAAACATTTTACACAAGATGTACCTTTTATTCCCCACCCCCTTTTTTTTTTTTTTACTGTACTATCTTTCTGTGTTTACCTGCAGCCATTGTGATAGTTCCCACTCGTGAACTGGCTCTGCAAGTCAGTCAGATCAGTATTCAGATCAGCAAGCACCTGGGTGGAGTCAAGGTCATGGCAACCACAGGTGGGACCAACCTACGAGATGATATCATGCGCCTGGATGAGGAGGGTAATGTTCAGTGATCACCTAATCATAAAGAGATTACAGTGTGATCATCTTCTGCTGTAAAAGCATGTTGTTCAAAACTGTTTTCTGCAGTTCATGTTGTTATAGCAACACCTGGCAGAATCTTGGACTTGATAAAAAAGGGCATAGCCAAAGTGAATAAAGTTCAGATGATGGTTATGGATGAGGTGAGTATTGCACATGCTTACTGTACATGCCCGTCAGAATATTAATAAAATGATTATTTCCTGTTGCACACTGTCACAATGGAACATCTTGACACAGTTATTTAGATGTTGTTAATACCACCACTATCAAAGTTCAACCTTCATTGCTTGTTTTCTTATAGGCTGATAAACTGCTCTCTCGGGACTTTGTGGTTATTATTGAGGACATCATTGGTTTCCTTTCAAAGAACAGACAGATTCTGCTCTATTCAGCCACATTCCCCATCAGTGTACAGAAGTTCATGGTTAGAGAAGGCTGTGCATCATTTTGAACACATTTATGCTTTGACTGTGCTCATCTGTCTCTTTCTACATCTGCAGGTTTTACATTTACACACTTTTGTATCTCATCAGGCAAAGCACCTGCAGAAGCCCTATGAGATTAATCTGATGGAGGAACTGACCCTAAAAGGCATTACGCAGTACTATGCTTACGTCACAGAAAGACAGAAAGTCCACTGCCTTAACACACTGTTCTCCAGGGTAAAAGAGTGAATTTCCTTTTAGGACTTAAAAAAATATATATATATTTAGGGTGGGTACAATGTCACAATCATGATGGCTTCTGAATGGCTGCTTAGTTTTGAATTCTGAAACTTAAAGTATTTTTGCATTTTGGCCCCTTTAAATATATTAAGTCTCATGAGTTAAAGGAAAAGTTCACCCAAAAATTTTAATTTGCTGAGAATTTACTCTCCCTCAAAAAAAACAAAAACATTATTAAGGTGTTTTAACTTAACTGTCACTTCTGGACAAAATACCAGTCCATAATCTATGATTGCAGTTCCTCCAGTGAAACATATCTGTGTAGAAATGTTGGATGGTTTTCACTTGTAAACTGTGCTTGATCTGTGCATATTTCTCTCCTGATCCATACATGTTTTTTTCACTGGAGAAAGCAGTATTATGGATAGAGGACTGATATTTTAGCCAAAATCAATGGTTTGAAGTTAAACATGGCTTGATTTTTTTCTTTTTTTTTGTTACAAGCTATTCACTTTACATGACATTAATCGATGGACTGGAGTAATGTTGTGGATTATTGGGTTTTTAATGTTTTTATCAGCTGTTTGGACTCATTCATTCTATTGGCACCCATTCACTGCAGAGGATCCATTTGTGAGCAAATATTGAACATTTATTTTCTCTAAATCTGTGATGATCTACATCTTGGATGAACTGAGGGAGAGTAAATTTTAATTTTTGGGTGAACGATTCCTTTAATGCATTAGCTTAGGCTGTTTTTGTTCTTTTCTGAATTCTAACAAATGGCATTGTTTCTACAGTTAACATGACCCAAGCACTTTTCTCAATAGTTGCAGATAAATCAGTCCATCATCTTTTGTAACTCTACTCAGCGAGTGGAGCTTTTGGCCAAGAAGATCACGCAGCTGGGCTGCTCCTGCTTTTACATTCATGCTAAGATGATGCAGGTACTGTATGTGTTTTGTTGTTGTCAGTTCCAGTGTAATTCAGATCTGTTCAGCATGATTTGCTTATTTGCTTCAGTCAAATTCTTGAAACTTTGCAGTATTGCAATTATTTGTGACAGCAAACATTGTGCTTCATTTCATTCACATGGCAGGAATACAGAAACCGTGTTTTCCACGACTTCAGAAATGGGCTCTGCAGGAACCTCGTTTCCACCGGTGAGTATAGTATATACAGTATATTATAGTATCTTAACTCTTTTTTTTGTGTAATTGCATAATAATAACATCAGCTAGAAAAAATTAAATGTATGTTTTGTCAAGGTGTTTCTAACTGAATTTATGCTCTTGATACAGATTTATTCACTAGAGGCATCGACATCCAGGCAGTAAATGTGGTCATCAACTTTGACTTCCCCAAGAATGCAGAAACATATCTGCATCGCATCGGACGCTCAGGTGAAGTTGACAGACAACAAAGATGTGGAGGATTAAATTTGGATTACATTATTTAGACTTTACACTTTTTTTATTACACACTTCAAACTTTTATATTATTTATAATGTATCATTATATGGCCCCTGTGTTAAATTTGTAGGACGGTTTGGACATCTGGGTTTGGCAATCAATCTCATTACGGCTGAGGATCGTTTTAACCTGAAGACCATTGAGGACCAGCTGATGACAGACATAAAGCCCATTCCCGGTAGCATCGATAAGAGCCTGTATGTGGCAGAGTTTCACTCTGTGAACCCTGACTGTGAGGCAGAGGCATCTCACCCTGGCGGAGGGTCTGAAGCCCATTAGGAAGCACCATTAGAGAGCAGGTAAAGGCATACAGTTGGGAGACTTTTTGTACTTATGTCATGTAATGGGGAAATTCACCTAACGTGTGTTTATTGATCTAAGAATACCTAATATTGCAATGTCTATTTATATTTCCATATGAATCAGTGAAAATTGGACTGACTTTACCATCTGCTCTTTCTAGGATAGTTGGAGAAACTGAACCTGACTTTTGCACAAACCAGTTACTTCTCTGCTCGTATCTTTCATCATCTTTTCCAGCTCCACAGTTTTTTTTTTCTTTTTTTTTTTCATTCATTGTTCATTTTTAGGGGGGTTATACCTCTTTATAAATGACCAGTTGAGACATGCAAGAACAAAAACTAAACATTCAGAGAAAGGTTCCTATTTGATAGAAAACAATAAACAAAGGTATTGGTGAACATAGAGCATAGCATACTTGTATCATTAGTTGAGAATTTACACACAAACCATAGAACAAAACCTGTTTAACCCAAGTGCCTTAATATATATTATCTCTGTCTTAGATTAAAATGTCATTGCTATGTTGAAGTATTCCCAAAGACTTAATACAGGATTTTGCAGCATACTGGTGATACTGGATTCTATGAAAGAAAAATTGGTATTGATTTATTGATGAGAGAAGCATTTTCAGATTCTGTTTATATTCAGTCTGAGGCAGCTAGAGAAACCAGCATCCATGGAAATATTGCAGAGCTCAGGATTCAGGTGTGAACATGAACCATTGCACTAAACTGCCTCAGAAAAAAACATCTTCATTAGTAGTGCATTTTGTAGTTTCATTAGTAGTCACAGGCAAATGTAAATTTGGAATTCATAAGGAAATATAGACATAAATTATGGTTTCAAACAAAGACAATTTTTTTTTCTTTTTAATATAATTCTGAAACTATACTATATTAGACATTCCTAACTTAAACAGGCATGCCAAAACTGGCATAATGTGAGAGATGTCAGACTACTACATGAAAGCTGATTTAAAAATTCACCACACTGCAGTCATATACATGTATGACCAGGTCCTCACATTTATATGCACAACTATGTCAGTTTGTCAAAAGGGTCTGTTTGGTTCCTTTTTTTCCCATTTATTTAAAGGTTGGTGCGAAGGTTGGTCGAGGATAGCGTCTTTTACAGTTTTCATTTCTTTTGATATTAATTAATGTATAAAGTGATTAATGAACTTTATGACATTGTTATTTACAGATATGTATATATGTTTTTGCCAAAATGTTTGCTTTTTACTTTGATCCATATTCTGTGTAGTGAATATATATATATA